GTAGGTATGTTGGGGCGTGTTAGAACGAGCCGTTTTAGGTAGGTGTGGCTGACTCTTAACTTTTATAAAGAATATCTCGTTGGATTTGAGACTTTAGTCTTTGCAACTTTACAGATCTTCTTTATGCACCAAGAGCTTGTAACACTCCAAAGAGAAAGGAAAAATTGAAATCGCATCATATGACCCCTTTAAAAACTTCAAGATCACTGAACATAAAGTTTCAGAAAAATGTGTTAGTGCTGTATTTTCTTTCATCAAAACCAGAGGATTTGCTATAATTGATAATATCAATGTTATTTCAGTATTATTTTAAATACTATTATAGTTTTTATTAATATTTTGAATTAGTTTTTTATATCATTTTAGTTTTAATTTCAGTTTAATTTCTAGTCAGTTTGTTATGTGCATTTCGTTTGTCATTTTATTAGTTTTTGAATTAGCTTTTATTTTTATATTTTCAGTTTTTGTTTCAATCTTAGTTTAATTTTCATTCATTTTGTTGTGTTGTTGTCATTTTATTTTCTTATGAAATTTTTATATCTTAAATTTTAGTTTAATTTGTAGTCATTTTAAGTGTTGTTTTTTTCATTTGTGTTCATTTTTTAATTAGCTTTTTCTTGTTCAGTTTTCATTTAAGTTTAATTTTTAGTAATTTTTAGCAATTTTTTTACTATTTAGGTTCAATTTAATTTAATTTAATTTCACTTTTAGTTTTTATTTTCTAGTTAATAATTAATCTAGTTATTTCTATTTTCTATCTAATTATTTTCTAGTTAATAGTGATTCAGCTTAAACTTATTTCAAGTAGGGCAATATGTCTATCTATCTCATCTTATTTTATTTCAGCTTCTTGTGTTATGTTTTTAAATACTTTAATACTTCATTAAATACTCAGTTAATAATAGTTAACTGCAATAACCCTGGGTAATAGTATGTTTTGTAATACCATGGAAAAATCATATCTTACAGTACCATGATATGCAATTATTAATATGGTAATTATTATACAGTACAGTACAGATACCATTACTGTACCACGGTACGTCATAGTACTCCAAAACACACACGTGCTAATACTCACTCACACGTATTTAACGTTGAGTTTACGTCCAACTCAGAGACGCAAATGAAACTCACACACCTGTCATACACGGCGCAGGATACTGTTAATGCATTCGCATAAAATCACCACACATCTACGCAAGCTTTCACATGCAGCCTTGAGAAATGCATCTGGCTGCTCTCTCTTTCACCTGCATCACTGAAACAACTGAGACCACAGCTTGATCATCTTTTGTATTCTGCATGACACTGTGGGCATTTTCAAGTGGGTTTTACCTGCAGTTCCAACCACAGCCAGCAGGACGAAGAATACAGCACTGCCCGTCCAGGGCATCATCCTTCAGCACTTCACAGATTTCAGGATCAGATTTCTGGCTTACACTGACATACACTAACAGATAAAAGGAGGAATGTGACAGTGAGTGAGACAGAGGTGCAGAAACACGACAATAATACGACGAAAAAAGCCCACACCCCAATATTCAGATGTTTCCAATATTCAAGTGACTTAAACTTTTTATTTTAAACCATGCACTGATAGCACACTTACATCATGGAGACGTCTATTTGACGTCTGCATTTTACATCTGCAAGACTTATTTTTTAGTGTCTATAGGACGTTTTCTATCAGATGTCAAATATACGTTTTTAGAAGATGTCTTTAAGATGTTTATGATTTAGAATGAATGTAAAACTGACATCTTAAAGACGTCTATCAGATGTTTGTACACAGCAGATGCTTTCCAGATGAAGAGGTCTTTAACAGACGTCTTGCAGACATACCTGTGATATCTGGGTGAGCTCATAATAGCCATAAAATACAACTTTTTTTCAGTTTAGCTGCACACATTGTGCCTATATTTTGTGCCTACATGTTCTGCAGACTAATTATACCCATTACAGAACGTGTGTAATGATGTATTTATATAATTTACTAATATAATTTTAAAAAAAAACAATTCTAAGCACAATTTAGTAAACGAATACAACTTAAAACTTCAGCAAAATAGATTAAATAAACCTTAATTTAATGTATTGATTAACCCATCTTTTATTTATTTATATGTTTCAACTAATAAATACATATTTAGTTCCTCCAAAACTCACCTGCAGCTAGTCTTTGACCCAAATTACATGACTGATGCGCCCGTTTAGTCGCTCACCCGAGACAGAGGATAGGACGGCAGCACCGGACCCTGAATGGACAGCGTTCCAGCCCCACAGAAGAGCTCGCATTGGTTGCTCCGCGTCTTCTGGGGTGAGGAAAGTTCGGGCCAGCTGATGTAGTTCGGAGAGGGGCGGGGCCGAGCGGCGGGAGACGCGCGCGCTGGAGGCGGGAAGAGAGTTTCCCGCGCTTTGACCTGAGGGAGAGAAACAGGCTGAGACCGTGAGACGAGAGCGGCGAAAAACAGGTAGAGAAAGACACGGCGCAATTACATTTGGGAAATTGTAAACAAATCTATGCTTGTTTGTTTGTGTGTGTGTGTGTGTGTGTGTGAAAAGAACAACTTATAAACCAAAAGTGAGAGAAAAACACGTTTTTTTCGGACAAAAAGTCTGTGGTGGTAACAGTACAGTGATGTAGTATTACATATTTTGATGGGTACTAAATCCAAATATCATGGTAATACTATGGTACATTTATGTTATTGTTAAATCTACTGGCTGTTTGGACTGAGAGAGAGAAAGATTAAGAAGTGAGCGCCGAAAATCAGGTAGATACACAGCACGATTACATTTTATCAGTGTTGGGGGTAACATGCGAGTTAAGTAATCAGATAATTTTTTTCAAGTAACTAGTAAAGTAATGCATTTCTTTTTAATTTACAAGGAAATATCTGAGTTACTTTTTACATTTATTGACTGACAGCTCTCCTTTCCTCATGTTGAGAGAAATCAGGAGTGAGTGCAGAGGTGTTGTGTGCGCTGAGTAAACATGATGTTACTGTAGCTCTAGACTAAATGTGAATATACATTTATGCATCTCACCTGCACAAAAAAAGAAGATTCAGTATTCCTCAAAATCAATAAAAACTTTTTTTGTGCTGAACTTTTTTTTCTACTGCATCCTATTCTTCATGCAATCCAGAATGACAGCACAACTGAAAGGTTTGTTTGAGCTGCACCCTCTACTGTACGGACGTGAATTTACATTTCCTTCAGCCTGACGCTTATTCATGTCACTTTTGGTGTGAAAGGACTTTTTCATTTGCCAAAAATAAATCTTTTTTATATAAAAAAAAAAAAACACAAAAACAAACAAGCAAGCCCAGCTCAGATGCGAAAAAGTAATGCAAAAGTAACGTAATGCATTACTTTCCATAAAAAGTAACTAAGTAATGCAATTAATTACTTTTTTAGGGAGTAACACAATATTGTAATGTTTGTCCCCAACACTGCATTTTATGATATTTTAAACAAATCTATGTTTTATTTTGTGTAAACAGGACTACTTAGAAACCATAAAGTGATAGAAAAAA